TGGCGGTGGTTGGCCTGGGCGGGCTTGCGAGTCCCGGAGGTGGTCTTTCAGATCTAGGGTTCATCTTGGGCCATAGCTTCTGGGGATTTTTCCGGTGGATCATGTTTCGGTGTTTGCTCGGTCGAGCGGGTGGTGGGGATGAAGTCCGGTGGGTAGGGCGTTGTTATTTTCAATATTTTTGTATTTTATTGTTTGTGTTGTTTGTTAGTGTTTATGTTTCATCTTTTTTGGTTCTCCCGGTTGGAAGCTTCTCCCCTTGTGGGAGTTTTTCTGTTTCTTCTTTTTCGGTTCTCCCGGTTGGGAGCTTCTCCCCTTGTGGGAGTTTTTCTATCTCCTCTATTGGGAGTTTGTAGATTGTTTTTGTGTGTTGTGGTTTGTTTGTTGTTGGTAGGTAGGATTTAGACTACACTTTATGTAGCTCTCCCACCTAGATTTAACTGATTGGTTGGTTTCTCAGCGAATTTGCTGTTTTCTAGTTTGTATTTGTGTGTTTCTATATATAAAATCTATCGTTTGAAAAAAATAAATAAATAAATAAAGGTAGGGATATTTTAAATGAGAGGTACTGAATCTGGAATTACACTTCTACTTTGGCACTGAATGTAGAATTATTGAAATACCCACAATACATTCCATTCCATTTCTGTGTGGCGGTACTAGACGCATCTCAATTCTCACGCAAATTAAAACATTTTCAAACCATTCCTCTCTCATCCATCTCCATTCACGTTATACGAACAAATCCCCACAGTATCTAGGGTTTCAACTCCAAGCTCCCGATCTTCAAAACCAGATCTTAGCCCAGAAGTATTCATTTCAAGACTTCTCGATTAAATACCACAGCTTGAAGTCGCTAGTTACACCGGTTGCCATGGCTGAGGAGCAATCGGCGGCCAACAGTACTGCGGCGGCGGCGCCTTTAGGTCACTCTGTGATACCGATAGTGAACAAGCTACAGGACATATTCGCGCAGCTTGGAAGCCAGTCGACCATTGAGCTGCCCCAGGTAGCGGTGGTCGGAAGCCAGAGCAGCGGCAAATCCAGCGTGCTCGAGGCGCTGGTTGGGCGCGATTTCCTGCCGCGCGGCAGTGATATCTGCACACGGCGCCCGCTCGTGCTGCAACTTGTGCAGATTAAGAGGAAGGCTGATGGTACGGACGAGGAATGGGGGGAGTTCCTGCATTTGCCTGGGAAGAAGTTCTTTGATTTCAATGATATCCGGCGGGAAATCCAGGTTTCATATATACACTATATATTATTGGTGTCTTTTCGAGTGATGCAGTGAGAAATTAGTTTATTCTTAAATATTGAATATGTAGGTGATGATCAAGATGGAACTTTTTAAATTATGTATTTTCCCATGTTCAGGAAATTGTTAAAAGTATTAGTTTCCCTCCCGAAATAGTGCTTGAAATAGTGCTTGAAACTCAGGGAGATGATTTGATTCATTTGGCTATAAGTCACACGAAACCTGAGCCGGTTGGATTGTGTGCTAGCTTTGGTGTTTGCAGAATTTTGAACTATTTTTAATCTTAAGTAATGATATTGAGACATATATAAGAAAATACAAATGATGTTAAAATCCTTAAAACACTTAGAACCCAACATGGTGCTGCCTTTGACTACAGTGGAGAGATAGAAGGGATCTGTGTGTGTGTGTGTGTGTCTACTTCTAAGAGTAGATTTGGATAATGTTTAAGGAGAAGAGGAAGGAGTGATATATAGTAGTTGGTAACAGAGGATGGAAATGCCTGTCCTATTCCAAAGTCCAATCTTTTTCCTCAGTTTGTTGGAATAGAAATCATGTTGGCATGATTAACTGGATAATATATCTACTTGTGTTTCCGTAATATAGGTGTAGATGCACATCTGTGTATTTATACTTTCTCTGGTGTTATGGGTAAACTTAAACTTAAACAAAAGATTGTCGTCAAGACCACATGATTCATTGGGTGTGTTGAGTTTATAGACCGTGAAGTTTGGTATAGAGTTGTCACCTTAACTAATATGCTTCATGCTTATCAGCATATAGCAGGTGCTGGGAGCATGGATGATGGATCAGTCGTACTCTTATTTTATTGTTATGTTTACCTAAGAGATATTGTCATTGGAACAGTTTACTTTAGTGATTTTAATTCAGATCTCAAGTTGATTGAAATGATGCACTGTGATTTTGTCGATGCAAGAGGTTTTATTTATGCTGTCTATCTAGACTTCATCGATTTGGCAATCTTTTAATATTGATTCTTCTCACACTGCCAGGCTGAAACTGAGAGAGAAGCTGGCGGAAACAAGGGCGTTTCAGACAAACAGATACGTTTGAAGATTTTCTCACCAAATGTACTCGATATTACTCTTGTGGATCTACCGGGCTTAACAAAAGTTCCTGTTGGTGATCAACCATCAGATATAGAAGCACGCATTAGAACAATGATAATGTCATATATCAAGCGTCCAAGTTGCTTAATATTGGCTGTTACACCAGCAAATTCAGATCTTGCTAACTCAGATGCACTTCAAATGGCTGGAATTGCCGATCCTGATGGTAACTTTTGTTTTCCATATCTTTATTCATCCATGGTGTTTATTTGATTCTTAATTCGACCTAGTTTTAGCTTTTGGATTTTTCAACTCATGCTGTAAAGTTTATGCATGCAGGTTATAGGACAATTGGTGTAATTACTAAGGTAAGCTACAACTCTGTAGTTTGTTTGTGGTGTACATATGGTTACAATTTGCTATTTTCAGTTGGATATTATGTCACTCAATTATACTTTGCTATTTTCAGTTGGATATTATGGACAGGGGTACTGATGCCCGAAACTTTTTGCTGGGAAAAGTTATTCCTCTTCGGCTTGGTTATGTTGGCGTTGTGAACCGTAGTCAAGAGGTACTATTTCTTCTCAAGATATACAACAAACTACTTAGTTGAAGTACAATGTGACTTCTTTTATTGCTTTCATAAAACTTTTGAATTTTGTCATAGACTACTAGAAGCTAGTATATGTGCTATTTCATCTCAAGATATACAACAAACTACTTAGTTGAAGTGCAATGTGACTTCTGTTAGTGCTTTCATAAAACTTTTGACTTTTGTTATAGACTACTAGAAGCTAGCATATGTGCACATGATTTTTTTATTTCACTTTCCAATTTATTATGTTGTGACTGTAGATGAATATCCTTTCACCTGTTAAGATTTTTATATTGCTTTCCGTCATCTGCTTAAGTATATTCCTAAATCAAATATCTGTTTCTTATTCTTATTCTCTCTCCACCTTTCTCCTTTTCAATCTCTTGTATTTAAGTTGTTACATCTGTTTTTTAAGACATTAAGACAGGAATTGATGTTTTATTCACTATTGCCTAATTCGCATGGCATATCCTTGAATATTGTCATAATGAGCAGGATATTCTATTGAACCGGAGCATCAAGGATGCCCTCGTGGCTGAGGAGAAGTTCTTCCGCAGTCGTCCAGTACGAGCATGATATATTTCGTGACTACTGATTTCTAATCTCCTCATGCTTATCCACTCGGATGACTTAAGTAGCTCTTCTGCAGGTGTACAGTGATCTTGCTGAGCGTTGTGGTGTCCCTCAGTTGGCCAAGAAGTTGAACCAGGTATAGAATGTTTCATTGAGTCCTATTAGATATTATGAGAACCGTTTTTCTCAATGTTATAAATTATTATTATTATTATTATATCCTAGTGTGAAAGGGTTCTCTGTTTAATCGTTATAGTGTCAACTATTGTTTTTTTCACATTTTTTTAGTAAAAGAGTGTGAGAGTGATACATATTTATATTTTAATTTTAAGTTATTTAATTAGGGCTAGAATAAGGTGATGGACCAGGCTTTCGCTTAGCAACTCTAATTTGTTTTATTTAAGTAGTAGGGTTTAGGTCTCTTAGGCTGAAAAAAATGAGAAAAATAAAAAGAATAGAGGAGCTTTGGCTTAGGGATGAGAAATACTGATCGGTGCTTGGGGAAACAATTGTTTTTAGACATGTCAAAACCCGCAGTTTGGCGAGGCGGGCCTATAAAAGGGCAGCCCGGCCCAACCCTGCCATGGGCCAGGCTATGCAGGCTAGCTCGCTCAGATTGTAAAGAAAAAATGAAACCAAACTTAGTAACTACAGTGCGTGTGTGTCCTGTGTGCAACACAAAAATGGGATTAAATATCATCATACTATATTCACTGTTGAATTAAAAGAAGGAAAAACCTTACAAGCAAAAGTGGGAGACAAATCAAAAGCCAAGCCATCAATACCATAAGATCTGATGCCATCTCTTTAGTTTCTTTCCTGGGGTTACGAGTCCGAACCTCCCGCCGGAGCCTTGCCGTGTCTCCCTCTGTGTGTCCCATCGCTGCCTCTCCGTTGCCGGGTAACTCCTTGTTGTTGGGTGCGGCTGTTTGGGTTAGTGTCTTAGGGGCTTCAGACGTGCGAATTAGGCTAGGGTATGCTAGGGAGTATGTTTGATTGTTTTTGTTTATGCCAAATCTAGGCTAGTAGCTTTCCCAATTCCCCGTGCTATCTTTCATTTCCAAAATATTTTTTTTATTATTATTTTTTATTTTTTAAATAGGTGGGCTGCTTGCCCATCCAAAACCCGCGAATAGCGCGGGCCAACCCGTTTAGTCTTGCTCTTTCCCGGACCTTCAAATGACAGCCCAACCCACACCATAGATGCGGCGTGGCAGGCAGGCCCGCGGGATCAAGCCCGTCTAGACAATCCTAATTGTTTTTGGGGTTCTTCCCGTTTCTTTCGTTTTCAATTAAGTATCAATTTTAGTTTTGAATTTCTTGTTGCAATCCCCCTTCACTGTCTCACTGTCCCACCTGCTGGATCATTGTATGCAAACAAGGATAAGCGCCCATTTGGAGAGGATGGAACACCATTGGGAAATGATGGAGAACAACCTTGACGAGAGACGCACAAATGTTTCTTCTATCGAGGCTATGGTCGCTGCCCTTATGAAGGAGAAAGCATCAGTCTGAGTCTCAGTGTCTGCTTCCACTGAGGATGGCCTATCTCAACCCACGGTTTTGGGCCGCCAAAATTTGATTTTCCCTCATTCGACGAATTTGACCCAACCACATGGATAGCCATGGCTGAGCATTTTTTTTAGTTCACCACTCTTGTGGTGGTAAAGGTTAGAATTTTGCTTGTCGCCATGTGTGGGGATGCATTATATTGGGTTTGGGATTAATGTGCCATTTTTCGACAATTGCTCACCCCAACTTGCTTGGGACTAAAAGGCTATGTTGTTGTTGTTGTTTTCGACAATTGCTTGTTCCCAATTCACTGTCTTCGCTTCAGCTTATGAGGCTTTGGAGGCCATGCGGCTATCTGGCTCTGGCGATGACTATTGCTGAATTTGAAGCTCGAGTGGCTAAGGTGCCGGATTTGTGTGACCCAGTGTTACTGTTATCAAATGGCAGCCATGGCGGTATGGCGTGGCGCATTTTTTGACAATCTGCCATGCAAAATATGTGAAGGATAGCGCCGCCATGGCGGAGTTTTTGCAAACCGCCATGTACCGCCATTAATAAGACTGGTGTGACCCTTATTATTTAGACCAGTTTTTTTGGCGGTTTACGCGAGGATATATGCATTGTATGCACGATGATCCATCCATGCACGTTTATGCAGCCATTCTATTGGCTCGCCAAGTCGAACGCGAAATGAATTTCAAGAACCCTTCAGATAAGGAACAACCATGTTCCTCCTATTTTTCACAATCCTGCTTGGCTCCTACGTCGATTTCCAGCTCCATGACCTCTTCGCTGCTAGATCAGCCTAACCGCAATTCTTGTAACTTATCTCATGCTGACTACTTGGACCTCAGGGTAAAGAGAGTATATTTAAATGTCACGAAAATCATCATCCGATGAACAATTGTCGCGCAAAATCCTTGAACGTGATGGTTGAAGCAGACGAGGTTCCCTCACCCAGAGAGTTTGGATTGCTTGACTCGTGTAGCATTGGTTTGCGGCAGTATAGGCTATTTTGACTGGGAGAGTATTGATATGTATCTATATTTTAATATCCATATTTTAGTTAGTTAAATAGGGCTAGAATAAGGTGATGGACCGAATGTTTGCTTAGGAGCCCTAATTTATTTTATTTAAGTAGTAGGGTTTATGTCTCTTAAGCCATTGATAAAAAGAATAGAGGAGCCTTTGGCTTAGGCAGGAGAGAAATACTGATCGGCGTTCGTGCTTGGGGTAGGCTTCCCTGCGATTGTCTTGGGTTCTTCCCGTTTCATTTGTTTTCAATTAATAATCCATCTGTTTTGAATTTCTTCTCGCAATCTGCCCTTTAATCTATCAAAGAGCGTTCTAACGAGCTAAAGTTTTATATGCACTTGAATATTTACCATACTGTAGGAGAGTGATAGAAGTTAATCCATTACCGTTGACAAAAAAACGAATATCTACGTATACTGTTATTTGTATATTATAAATTCCAATGGGGTGTGGCCGAGTGGTAAGGCAACGGGCTTTGGTCCCGTATATTCGAAGGTTCGAAACCTTTCGCCCCAGGGCCTATCTGTTTTTAGGCTCTATTATTCCCATACTGTAGGGGAGTGATAGGAGTCGATCCATTACAGCTGTTGTTAAACCGGGACGGATTCTATACGACATGGGTGGAGTAACGGAAAATATAGCTGAATGAAAGGAGGAAATAAACCGAACATGAGAGGCCAGTAAGCCTGGAAATCCATTATCTTCTATTTGTTTGTATTAACTTGCAGTAGGACACTCTTAAATGCGTGGTGTCTTTCTGTAAGTATTAAGTCGACCAGAAAAAGTGATGCTCCGTAATATTGATGCTTTGCATGGGATGTGCTGCTGTTTACTTTGTGTTTACATTTTCTAGTTACATGATAGTGGATTTCTCGTTATTATTCAGATTCTGGTGCAACATATTAAGACAGTTCTTCCAGGCTTGAAAGCACGCATCAGTACTGCCCTGGTTTCTGTTGCAAAGGAGCATGCTAGCTATGGAGAGATTACTGAATCAAAGGTCTGGTTTCTTCTTGTCATGATGGGGTTTTCATCCTGTTCAGTTATTTTTCTTTATTTTCCAGTTGTAGCTTATTGTGCTTTAAGTTCCAAATGCAAGGTGAGCAATGATGCTCAGATTTCCATCTTCCTTCTCATTTTTTTGGTTATCGATCATTGAATTTGCTCTTCGTAAGATTTTATTTTGCAACAGAAAGTGCAACTGGTTTATCCATCATTTAGAACTTTTGGTTTTTCCAATTTGTATGTCGATGCTATAATCCGATTCATTGCTAATTTTTACCTTGTTTTTAACAGGCTGGCCAGGGTGCTTTACTACTAAACATTCTTTCAAAGTACTCCGAAGGTATTATTAAATAATACCAGGGATTCAGTTTTATTTGTAATGCGTCTTTCATAGGGATGTAAAAAATCTAGCCACCATGATGTGTTGTTAATGTTCAGGAATAACACTTCATTTGAATGCATGTTTCAGTATTAATTGAGCGAATTCTGTACATTACGCATGTCCATCACATGCTCGTCAACAGTTTAACTCAATTCCTTACTTTCCTTAAAGCCTACCCTGTATTGTGGATTTAGCTATAATGTGTTGTCTTTTCCAAGTTGGCCATGATAGCTTTTGATGTCTAACTATGCAGTCCAAGTATCAGAATATCAAGTGCATTGTTCACGTCCTGTCCCTCTAAATATTTTTTATGCTGGATTATTAATTTTTCTATTGAAATCCTGTTTTTAAAACAGCATTCTCCTCGATGGTAGAAGGAAAGTATGAAGAAATGTCAACATCTGAGTTATCCGGTGGAGCAAGAATCCATTACATTTTCCAAAATATATATGTCAAGAGCTTGGAGGTTTGTACATTTGATTTGCGTCATGGGGAATCATGTAGTTGTTTGGTGTAAAAATTCCCATGTTGAGAACCCACTTGAATTTCCAGAGTTTAGCTCACCTAATTTGTGTAAAAGTTAATACTACACAATATATTTAAAGCCATTGAAATTAGAGAAGGAGAACACGTAAGACAAAGAACAGCCGAACAAGTCCATTTTGCAGCTAAAGTAGTGGTGTTAGAAGCATAGTTGTGGTCTCAACGTTCAAGGTGCAAACTGAAACACATGCCTCCTTAAAGTAAGGTGCAAAAACAAACAAAAAGAGCTGTATATAATAATGAAATACGGTTTATAGTATAATCATGCGTAAAGTCAAATTAAAAGCATGTAATGTATCATATAGAAAATAACATATCTGTATAAATATGCATTGAATCATAGTTTATAGATGTCCAATTGAAAAAAAGGAAGGATTACTTATATTCACTGTTCGTACTAGTTTCTAAAGTACTGATTATTTGATATAAAAGGTAAATCTTCAAAATGTCCTCCTGGATGCCTAATCATCATCAGACGCTAAATCATTACATCATCTATATAAGTATTGCCCAGCTTAATAAACCCTAGGATTATGCCCAATCTAGTGAATTGATAGCCCATGCTTAAAAGAGCCCCTAAACTTCAGTGAGGCATGCCTCATTATGTGTTATGAGGTTGGCGTATCTTATTGAAGTACAGCGCCTTGAAGGCTATGAATTGCAAGACCTGTCACCTGGTGTGCCTTGCATCGCCTTTAACTTTATGCATACTGTTGGGACTTCTTGAACGCTTCCATGTCCAATCAATTGTGTTATATCCACTTCAATAAAATCTGATTCCTCCTTTTTTCTTTATGCAGGATGTAGATCCTTGTGAGGATTTAACTGATGATGACATCCGTACTGCCATTCAAAATGCAACTGGTCCCAAATCTGCATTATTTGTGCCAGAAGTAGGTTTTACCCGAACAGTTTCCTTTCTGCTTGTATTTGTTTTCTTCTTATGTGAAAAAATGTAATCAATTTGTTTTGGCATTTTGGCTTCCTTTGAGTAATCAGTCGTGCAAAATATCTAAAACTTGTAGGTTCCATTTGAAGTTCTCATCAGAAGACAAATAGCTCGTTTGTTGGATCCAAGTCTTCAATGTGCTAGATTTATATATGACGAGCTAATTAAGGTGCGTGTTTGAAAAACTTTATAATGGCATATTGGTATGTGGAGTCATCTTATCTGGAAATTGTTCTGGATATTGTCTTTTAGATGAGCCATCGCTGTATGGTTAATGAAATGCAACGGTTTCCAGTCCTGAGAAAGCGCATGGATGAGGTCATAGGAAATTTTTTGCGAGATGGTCTTGAGCCTTCAGAGACAATGATCGGTCATATTATTGAGATGGAGGTAATATATACATCATGATGTCTATTAGTTTTCTTACATTATCAGGTATGTCATTTTTCCATGTCAAAGTACAGCTATTTGATCATTTTGATAACCCATCTTTGAATGCAGAATTTGACTTAGTTTCTTTTATTCATATGGTACCTGTATTCCTTCTGCACACAGGCTGGCTGCTTTATATTATTTTAAGACTGCTGAAATCTTATTATCCTGTCTGTAGATGGATTACATAAATACTTCCCATCCAAATTTTATTGGTGGTAGTAAAGCTGTAGAGACCGCCTTACAACAGATTAAGACCTCTAGAATTGGCACATTATCGAAGGCGAAGGTACTTTTCTGTGCCAAAGGATAATTTTCACCATCTTTTTTATTTTCTGAATCTGTTGGTAAATGAATGATCTGCATTTGTTTATTAGGACTCGGGAGATGCAGATAAAGCACCAAATTCAGAGAGAAGTCTGAAATCTCGTGCTATCCTTGCACGCCAAGCGAACGGAATTGTTCCGGAGCAGGTAATTTTGTGTTCAAGTGCCTGAAGCATATCCAACACTTAATTTTCTGCTCCACCACCCTCACTTCCCAAATGCACACCAAATGACTGATTGTTTTGTTTACTGATACTCTTTCTTTGGCGAAACAGAATGCTCGACCTATTGCTGAAGTTGAGAAGACAGCACCTCCCGGTACGTGCTTTATCAGTTTTGTATGGATATACATAGCAATTCTACACATTTTTTTTTTTATCTGCTGGAGGATCAAAAGTTGTGCTGATATAGTTTATTGAAGAAAGACGGCAAAAGTATACTATTAACAGAAACCAATTTCTGAAGTTTGTGAAATGTGTTTTAGGGATAACTGCAAATGGCTTAGGTGCCATTTTTTGACTCAATTCTGATATTGCAATCTTGATTTGCTTACCAGTTAGCAATGCTAGTTCGAATTGGGGAATATCTTCTATTTTTGGTAGCCATGATAATCGGACATCTGTGAAAGAGAACTCAACCAGCAAACCCTTCAGCGAACCTGTTCAGATCATGGAGCAGGGCATCTCAATGATTTATTTGAGAGAGGTATGTTGAGTATTTTCGATATTGTAAGTCAATGTTGTTAGACGTATAACCTCTATTGCTTGTTACTGATTTGGTGCTCTAATATTAGCCCCCCAGTGTATTGAGGCCCTCGGAAACACACTCGGATCAAGAGGCTGTTGAGATTGCTGTCACAAAGTTGTTACTAAGATCATATTATGATATTGTACGGAAGAATGTCGAGGATTCTGTACCAAAAGCAATTATGCATTTTCTGGTAATCTCATATTATTTATCTAGAATTTTTGTGCACTTTTATGAATTAAATATTTTGATATTTTCAAACTCTTTGATTGGCTTTACTTACTGGGCCTTATAAGATCCTAAAAAATTACATAATAGAGCATCAGATTCAAATGCTAGTTTTTGAAGTTCTACGTCCTAAATATTGAAGATATAACCGTCTTAATTTTAAAATCCCAACTGTTTCTTTTTGTGAAAAAGTATGTTAGCTGCTATACATATCCAGAGATATGATTTATATTTCCCACTAGGTCAACTATCATTGCTCTCCCAATTTGTCTTATAATATAAATCTAATCTCATCATAACTGACAGAAATTGAACACTTCTTGTGTATTTTAATCATGTAGGTAAACCATACCAAACGAGAGCTTCATAATGTCTTCATCAAAAAGCTTTACAGGTATGCTCTGATTCCGGATGGTTGAGGTTTTATGTTGAACCTTGTGGAGCAATGGAAAAAGAACCAAAAGTATTACGAGAACAGTAAAGTTCAATTTGTGGGTTATTTATTCAAAGCCAAAATAATAGTGACACTGGAGCTTTGTTGTGTCTTGTGCAGAGACAATTTGTTCGAAGAGATGTTGCAGGAACCAGATGAGGTGTCCATGAAGAGAAAGCGCACCCGAGAGACACTTCGTGTTCTGCAGCAAGCATTCCGAGTAAGTGATTGATAATCCTGAAGTGAGTTCTATAATTACAAAATGCACCATTGAAGCTTTTCTGGAGCAATCTTTCGAAAATTCACGAATTGCACCTTCAATAGGGAATTGAAGGCAAAATTGCATATTAATACATCACCTTTCATGTTTTTGCAATTTAATCACCACCTTTACAATTTTGCAAATTAATACACCACTTTTACCATTTTTGCAAATCGATACATGACTGACGGTTCCGTTAACGAAAATCTGACACGGCACTAGATTTTTTTAACGGAACCGTCATTTATGTATCGATTTGCAAAAATGGTAAAGGTGGTGTATTGATTTGCAAAATTGTAAATGTTGTGATTAAATTGCAAAAACATGAAAGGTGGTGCATTGATATGCAATTTTGCCGGGAATTTAAATACCAAAGGTTACTGTGTCTTTTCAATGGGTACCCTTTTCTGAAATTATCCACAAGCATATTTTGTATTGTTCATACAAATGATGTAATATCCTTTTCCCATACAGACTCTAGATGAATTGCCCCTTGAAGCTGAGTCTGTGGAGAGGGGCTACAATTTGAATAGTGACCCGACAGGCCTGCCAAAGATCCACGGGCTTCCGACTTCGTCTTTGTATAATGCGGGCAGTGGTTTGACCGACACATACAGTGCTTCTCCAAAAAACACCAAGTCTCGTAAGTCTTCACATTCAGGTGAGCTGCACTCTTCATATTATGGAGATTCTAACGGTGGACGTAATTCTATGTTGGGTCTTTATCCTACGGTCGATATTTAGACTCTGGGAATATGAATGGTATGGGCTGAGTTCTTTTGATGGGGGCACGTTGATAATTATCTTTGGATGATTTGGAGACCTAATGTTTGTGGATATGACTGACAGTGGGGTCTGTATTCTTTCTTATATAGTATTTGTTCTTTTCTTCTAAATTATGATTTGGTTATAAATGGCTTGCATACAAAAGCTCCAATAAAGAAAAAGGAGCCACCTTTTGATGATCTTCCCTCATATAGTTGTGTTGCTGCAAATTTTCAATGCTGTTTTGTTTGCTGTAGCATATGTATGGAGGCTACATTGGTAAAACTAGTTGGACATGAATTATTTATTTGAGGTTGCGAATTTTCTGATAAGCTGTCTATGGAAGATTTACTGAATAGAATCTGCTAGTTTTGTTTTGTTTTGTTTCTGTTATTTCTGTGTAATTTTCTCCAAGTACAGGCGAGTACATAAGTTTATTTGCTTGTTCTTTTTGTTGACCGATTTGTGTATTTGTGCTGTGTCCGTTTAATTGTGCGTGGTTAATTGGGCTTTTGACTGATTTGTCAAGTATTAATAATTGCTTAACACCGTTCAAATTAGGCAACCAAAGAGACTAAATGAAATATTATGATTGCGATTAGAAGATTCTTTTACCCTTTTTTAAAAAGAGCCAACAAAATTATTTTCTTTTCAAAATTAGAACGTATCAGTCTAAGTTGTGAACTTGAAGGTTTATGGAGCACTGGAGCTCTGAAAGCACGAAAACTTCAACTAGACCTCTGGTTGATTAATCTACAAAAACCTGGGCATAATAAGCACTTTTTAACTTCATCAACTAGACCTCTGATTAAAAATCTGGGCATAATAACTTTTAACTTCATTAATTCGTTGCTATTTCCGATACAAAGACCCCTTTAGCTCCTAATGTTCATCACAAATCACTTTTTGCAATGGATTATAGCTAATCCCAACTCAAATTTAACCTTCTCAACTATGAGAATATTAATGGAAAGGGAGCACATTTATGTTAGCTGCTTGTGTGAACTTTAGTCCCGGCTCAACTGGAAAACCATTTGTTCATACAAGATGATAAACTACAGAAGGCTAAGCATGTAGCAACCAGTCGAGTTCTGATAACTAGTCTACTTCGATATTCACATTTTCTTTTTGAATCTGTATAATCAAATCGAATACCGAATTTGAATAAAAAAAAAAGTTCGAATTGTTTGCAGCCTTACTGCAAATGCACAACAAACAAAAATTCACATATCTTTCGCTCATACATTTCAACCAAATATATTACAAACCCGACCAACATGACTCGAGAGCTTCGGTTAGCAAGCAAACTACTTCAATTACAACTTCGAACACGATCAAAGATACCAACAAAAAACCAAATCAACACACATTTGCTACATTTCATTTAATTCAAACGTCATATCCAGGGTTGACTTTTTGTTGAACATCACCATAACTCTCTAACTCCTCAATATCTTCAGAACTCCCCAAAAACAATGGCAGCCTTTGATGCAACTTAACCGGCTGAAGGTTCAAAATCCTAACTTTACCATCTGACCCTTTTCCTCCAGCTTGCTCAGCCAAGAAACTGAGTGGATTAGCCTCATAAACAAGACGAAGATGGTCCCTTGGATTCATTGCAATCCCACCGTACAATAAGGTTCGGTGGAAATCGGCCACAAGGGAGCATATGTACCGAGCAGAGTACTTTTTAGGGTATTTGCCTTTGCCTTGTCTAACGGTATCTATGTATTGCCTCAAGCCTTCAGGCCAGTCAAAATATCGCGCGTCATTTACCGAGTATATTTGCCCTGGCATCGCATAACAAAATCAGTTGACTAGGGAAATTATCGAAGAACAAAAATAGTGCATCCATTTTTATCCACATACATAGAGTGACAAATAGCAAAAATCAAAGATAAAGAAAAATGAAAAATTAATTAAGAGTCAAACTTACAGATACCCTCCTTGATATCTGTTCCTATATTTTGAACACCCTATTGACGGGTCCTCTAGGCGTTGTTTGTTATACCTTAAACGGCTTCATTTGGATTATATTAAAGTGTTAACGAAGATAGGATACCTTCACAAGTTGTGATGTTAAGGAATTTATGATTGAGATTTGTAAGGTTAAGGTTTGGTATCTAATCACGTGTTTATGACTACTCATCATGCGCGACCAAAAAAGATAGAAAAAATCTGGGGCAAAATGTAAAATTTTCAACATGTGCCACTATCTCGAATTGAATTATCAGGGAGTGTAAAAACCAGACTCCTAATCACCTAAAACAGAACAAATTGAATGATGAGGGGCATCACTATATCTTTTCACTCGATACAAAACTAGCCAAAAGGTGGGGTGCTTCAAATGTACAGCTTCAAGCTAATGAAAGCATTTCGTAATAAGACTATTTGTTCATTTGTTTTTATTTACCATTCAATTTATATTATTACCTCGAGGAGGAATTTTAATGTTTGGATGCGTGAGAACAAAGTCTCCCGTTGACCGATCGAGTGTGAACGCATGAGTTCCCGAACCAAAACTCGTACAAAGAATCGTAGCTGATGAATAAAGGACATAGGCAGAGGCAACAAGCTTTGTCCCACTCTGTAGAGAATTAAGTGCCGCTTTTTCCTCTTTCGGCAGATGATCGAGCTCGTAAAGACGTCTGTAAATCCCGAATATAGTTCCAGTTGGAATAGAGGCATCGATATTTCGAGAGCCATCGAGAGGATCTAAAACAACCACAAACGGGCCATCATCAGCAAGCCAAACTGGGGCATCGTCTTCTTCGGATGCCATTACTGCAACTTTTCCAGAGTTCTTTAGAGATGATAGTATGATCTCATTCTGAAACACAGTGTTATATGTTTACAATCAATAATAATGTTCCCAAACAGTATGTCCAAGAAAAAAAGATGACATAACTGTTTAGAGGATGACAAATGTTGGTATTTATAATTCTTGAAAGATAGNACACTGCCACTTTCAGCACTGAAATTCTTAGCGAGATTCGAGTTGAAAGGCGAGGCCACCAGAGCAGCAATTTTCTTGCAGGCATACTCCAAGTGACTGTACAAGACCAACAACTCATCGCCCACATTTTGGCCCCCTTTTCCTAGAAACTCCGCCAGCGTCTGAAACTCATCGCCGCCTTCGACGCCGGAGCCACCGCCACCGCCGCCGATGGCGCTGATTTTGGAGCTTAACCCGCCAAGAAAAGACATTTCTTTAATGGGCTGAGCGAAGAGATTGAGCCTCGGCTGAGAATTATTAGGGATCGGAGAGTAAAAGTGAAATCTTGGAAAGTGATTAGAGATGGGGCTGAAGATTATGGTTGTCGACAGCATTTCTTGTATAGTGGGGTCAGCACCATCGAAGATGAGGTTGTAGAAAATGAGGTACGGAATCATATTATTAGAAGGCAATATATATATATATATATATATATATATATAGGGTCACGCTCCGGTGAGAATGACTCTTAATGCGAGAAATGAGAATAAATTGTAGTCATTGGATCCGATGATCTAATGGCTGAAAAAAAATCAAAATTATACCAGATGTACTATGGACATTTACTTACACACCAAATATCAACCACATTAATGGGGCCCACTCCAATTAAACCGTTCCCATTCCCAGAACCCAATTTATCACCACCTCACCCTCTCTCTCTCACACACACTCCCCCTCTCTCTCACACACATATTAAACATAATACATACACACGCACGCGACACACACACACACAGCACACATTCGCCGGAGAAATACACACACTCAACGGCGGACCCATCAGCCATCCATAGTCGCCGCCGCCGTCTTCACGCTCTGCCGCCGTCACGACTCCGCCCCTGTCAAGCCTCCGCCGTCGCCGCGCCACCATCATCGCCACCGCCGAACCTCCTATGCAAATTTCCCGGTCGTTCTCCGTCGCCGCAGTTATTTCATCAGCCGTCTCGATTCAATTTCCAGTAACCTTCCATTCTCGGCAAACCTCGACACAACTGACAGCCCTCCGCCTTCTCCGCCTAGCTCCGGCGACCTCCATTAGTGACCAATTCAACCTTCCGCCAACCCCGAACAAGAAGTTCATGGTGCGGTTGAGCACACGGTCGGAGTCTTGTCACCGATTGCGTCAAACTGGCTGCAGAACCGAGTCAGGAGGAGACTCCCGATCACCTGTAACTAAAAATTGAAATGGGTCTTTTTTTTTGAAAATTAGATAGGGTTCAAGGACCTAATTGCAGATTTATAAATTTTAATTATATTTCAATTCAGTCCTCAGGCCAAATATGTAATTATTGAAACTTATCAATTTTTTTTTTTTTTTTTTTTTTTATATATATATATTTTTTTTCATGTTATGTGAGGTCTATGCCCGTCCCGTATTGTGCAGAATGAATGGTGAATTTTCTTTATTTGGAAATCAGACTAATTCAAAGTGATATCCTGGGCTTGCAGGTCTATCACCATTCGGCTTTATAAAATATAAATTAATTAATAAATAAAATGAGAAATAGAAATAGTATTAAATAATAAATAATAAACAATAAAAATATTTCAATTATTTAGTGTGATTCTGTACATAATGATATTTACTAAAACTAGTTTTCGAATACACATAATCTACGTAGGATCATATAAAGTGTTGCACTTTATATATCAGTATGCCGCACTTTATAAGACAACACGTTGCACTTTATTAAACAAAATGCTGCACTTTATCTTCACAAACCACAATTCACTTTATTAAGCAAAAATGTTGCACTTTATCTTCACAAACCACAATTGACGTAATTAGCTCTCCCCAAAATACCACTAATCATAATTCTAAAAATTGGATCTACATAATATTTTAACATTCATCACACCATATGTCAAAAATAAAAAAGGAAAAAAAAGCATGATAGCGTGCCAAATTTACAGTGCACTTTATATATCAACACGTTATATTTTATAAGACATCACGTTGCACATTATAAAACAACACATTGCACTGTATCGCGACTATCGGATTGCACAATATAATATAAAAATAATAAATAAAATATTAACATAATAAATATCATTTTAATATAAACAATAATTTATTTCATTTATTTAGGATAATTAGGTTAACCGAGCAGAATAAACCAAATAATTATGTTTCATTTTCAATTTGATTGGGGATAAGAAATCGCTTGGTGCAATTTGCACAATACAGACCGACACCATGCACCATAATGATGTCCGGGTTGCACCTTACGAACAATTAGATTGCATATTATATTTCGTTACATGTACACTTTATTTTTTTAATAAAAAAAAATATAAATATAAGATAAAATTTTTAAATGCTATTATATTTTTATAAAAAATAATACAATTTATACCGATTATTTTAATTATTTATGCTAACCGAAAAATTGAACTGAATATGTCAAAAAATATCAAAAAGGATTAAAATGGAGTATAGATCTAAAAAACAGTAAATAATAAATAAATTATTAAATAACAATAATGTAAAATATTAAAATAGCATAAAATTTTTTTATAGTAATGAGTAACTTATATAATAAAAAATAGCAAAGAAAAAGACATTTTAATGATTTAAGTTAATTCAATGTACAATTATATCTATTAAATAGTTTTCGAATACATATAATTTATTAATTAATGCACGTTATATAGCAAGATGTTGCATTTTATAAAACAACACGTTGCACTGTATAAGACGTCACGTTGCACTTTATCAACATAGCTCCCGCCAAAAATATTACGCGGTATAAATCTAAAAAACATATATACATAATTGCACTTTATACATCAATATGTTGCACTGTATACGGAAATATATTGCACTTTATAACACGACATGTTACAACTTATAAACAACACACTACGCGTACCAAAAAATATGGTAATTCGGCTAATCGATCAAATAAATTAATTGGCTAAATGTCGAATTTAGTCTTTTTAAATAAATAAAATAACTGAATATGACAAACTATATGAAAAATATTATCAATTCTTTTTATTTATATATTTTAATAAAAAATTATACTAATTTTTTTTTTATATTCTTATATGTATAGCGAATGCTGGTTATACTAATTGCACATAAACGTCTACCATATTGCACAAAATCAAACGAGATCCAACAAACATAAATTCGGTACGAAAATTCATATTTTGTTTCGATTATAATTATTATTATTTTATATATCGAGTATTGTCGATACGATGATTTTTTTTATTTAAATAACTAAAATAAAAACAAAATTATATTAAAAATGTTGTTATTATTATTGTTATTATTATTATTATTTTTGTATACAAATATTAAGCTATGATTTTCTATTGAAATATAAAAAATCAATATAGTGAATTTTATGTATTATTGTGTATGTATTAAACTCTTACTATATTATCAATTTTCCAATTGTACTCAATTGAAATAAAATAAATTTTTATAAATTGCAATTAGGCCCCTATATTAAATCAAATTCTCACACAAAATGACCCAAACTCAAACAAACACACCATATAACTGCTATACTCGGCCAAAATCACAGTGGTCTTTGCCGGCCGACGTTGGGCTGTTACTCGCCGCCGACGTTCATCGGCGATTTTTCCGGCGAGCGGCCAAGATGAAGGTTCACGACATTAAAACGGCCGACGGCCGCGACGTTGACGGAGGCAACATGAGTGGACGACGGACGGCAAGGGCTGGAAGAGGAGGTCGGTCTGGAAGTGACGGCCGCAACGTTGCCGGAGGCGGGTGGTGACGGAGGTGCTCGACGGCGGACTGGTTTTGTGCGGTGGCGATGGCAGTGGCGGGATGCTGATGGTGGGCTGAGAATGGCGACGACAAGCTGAGAAAGGGGACGAAGGCGGGCTGAAAAGCGCCGACAGGTAGAAAGCCGGCGGCGAGATGAGAAGCGGTGGTGGTCGTGCAGGTACAGGCGGAGGCGGAGGCGGCTGCGCGGAGATGCTCCTGTGGCCAGAAGGTGGGCGAGAACAGATGGATGTTGGCGGAAGGCGGCGGCGATATGGTGGTTGGACTGCCGGACTGTGTGTGTGTGTGTTTACTGTGTGCGTTTCTTCAGATCGTGAAAAATGGAGAAGATGCATTGAGGAGAGAGAAAACGTGTTGAGGAGAGAGAAAACTTTGTGGTGAATTGATTTAATGAGTTGGTCCCACTTCATATATTTATTTACTACATTACCCTAAATTATTGGTCAAATACACATATTTGATCACACTATGGTCAATAATTACCAGATTGCCATTAATGATTGACCATAGTTTGACTTCATCATAACCATTAATATGTTTGATCCCATTGTCCAAACTTATTCTCATTTCTCGCATTAAGAGTCATTCTCATATGATCCCTTCTCTATATATATATATATATATATGGATTAGTTTCAATGCATCCCATTATTTAAAATGAGGACGTGAGACTCATTCCTAACCACAAGATTTAGATCTTGATTTAAATAATAATTCTTTATTTTTATTATTTAATTTTTTATTTTTAATTATTTAAATATTATTATGACCATTGACCGTTGACTCCGACGTTGACCGTTGACTTCCGACGTTGACTTCCGGCGAAAATCGTTGACTTCCGGCGTTGACCGTTGACCATTTGTCTTTTGTTATGTTATTTCTTTCTTGCTAGGTTAGTTGTGTTTTGTTGCTAGGTTAGTTGTTTGTTGTTGCTAGGTTAGTTATTTATAGCTGCTAGGTTAGTTGAGTTTTGTTGCTAGATTAGTTGTCTTAAGTTGCTAGGTTATTTTTTTTCTTGTTGCTAGGTTAGTTGTCTTTTGTTGCTAGGTTAGTTCTTTCTTGCTGCTAGGTTAGTTGTCTGATGCTGCTAGGTTAGTTGTCTTTTGTTGCTAGGTTATTTCTTTCTTGCTGCTAGGTTAGTTGTGTTTTGTTGCTAGGTTTTTTTTTTTTTTTTTAAAACAACAACGCCCCGGAAGGGCGGGGGATTGGGCTGGATCCCCAACCTGTGCATAGATCAGGGCCCCAAAAACGGGAGCCCAAAATGTCAACGAACCAGATACAGAGGTCTACATAGTCTGAAAATCAAAAATAAAAATAAGAAAAACAAAAAAAAGAAAAAAAACCGAAAAATGAAAAAGAATCAAAAAAACTACATAATAAAGTCGATCATCGGGCTAACAGATGCCCGAGATAAGTCTATACTAATGAAAATAGAGATCCTATACTAGTGAAAGCGGAACGCTGGGTATCCAAGCTGGTCCATCCGTACAAGAGTGCGAAGGCGGAGTGGAGCAGTGTCGGTCTGGAATGTATGTGTGCCTGGTATGGTGGCGCCAAGGCTGGCCAGGTAATCAGCCGGTCTGTTTCCCTCACGGAAAATGTGCGAGATCCTGTGAT